CATTGCCTGCTCTTCCAAAGGTCCTGAGTTCAATTCCCAGCAACCACATGGTGGCTCACAACCATCTGTAATGAGATCTAGTACCCTCTTCTGGCCTGCAGACATACACACAGACAGAACATTGTATACATAATAAATATTTATATATATACATACATACTATATATATATAACAGGATCTCACTGTGTAGCTCTGGCTACCTGCAAGTACAGACGTACCAACCTGGCCTTGAGCTAACAGAGGTCCACCAGTTTGTGCCATCCCTGTGCTGGAATTAAAAACATGAGACACCATGCCCAATCTCTCACATCAGTAGTTTTTAACCTGTCTATCAGGAAGCGTGAAAGACACAGGAGGTTCATGTTGTATCACTACTGGGTAGCCTGCTGCAATGTCTGTCCAAGGCTTGGCCATTTGTGCTGCTGTCTCCTGCTCCTGGCTTGCTCAGGAAGATACCTGGAATGGTTTCTTTAAGGATAATAAGTAGCAACACAGACCTAGATTCTTTCCCACTCCCCACCTCTCAGGGTCAATTCCTCTTCTTTTGACAAGGAAGTGTCTTAGGACAAGTCCGGCAGGCACTTGCAATAACAGCCCTGCTCAGAGTCTTTCCTGACAGTGAGTACTCGCAGATCAAGGCTGAACTCTGAAGACCTAGGAAGTTAAAGGCTGGTTGCCCTTTTCCTTTCTAAAAAAACAGAGTTCAGAAGTCATGGGCATTTTAGGGTTTGGAAAGCAATGGCTTCTCTATTGAAACCAGACTTTAAAGAAACTGGGAACCAAGAGTGAAAGGGGAAGCTGTGGAACAGGGTCCTGGAGAAGAGAAACTGGGAAAAACAGAGAGCTAAGAGTGAAGAAGTAAGGGCGAGGCTAGAAGGGCGCGGCTGAGTGGGGGAAGGGCGGGGGAGTAGGAGTTGGACTGCTCCGACAGCTCCGAGCTAGAGAGACCAGAAAGGGAGGGAGGGGAAGGGAGAACTAAAGAAGGGGGAGGGATGGTACGGAGGAGGCGGGGCCGGGAGTAGGGAGTAGGGGCGGGACGGAAGAAGAGGAGAGGGTGGTAGCCGGAAAAGGAGGAGCCGGGAGCAGAGGGCTCGTCCCCAAGTCTGTCAATTGGGTAAAAGCTGCGCGCTGTTAGTAGCTTCAGTTCAGCCGCAACTCAGAGTCTAGTTGGAGTACCATCCCTTGTCCCAGCCAACCATGGCCAACCCGTTACGCGCCCCCCTGATCCTGATGGCGGCCCTGGCCTTGGCTTCGGCCGCGACCCCCAAGCAAAGTCCGCGCCTGTTGGGAGGCCTGCAGGAGGCCAATGTCAACGAAGAGGGCGTGCAGCGAGCGGTGGACTTCGCCATCAGCGAGTACAACAAGGGCAGCAACGACGCGTACCACAGCCGCGCCATGCAGGTGTTGAGAGCCCGTAAGCAG